GTGGGCACAGCGGTGGGACCAGGTGCACAAACCCCCTCGGCTGATCCCCCCTGGTGCGGTTCTCAACAGCAACACCCAAAGCATCATCCAGTATCACAGAGGGGATGGGTGGCGGCTGGCGAACAAGCACCCAGGACCCAGTGATGGGAAGGGAAAACCAGGGATCTCCTGCTGCCCCACACTGGGCCTTGATTCCCCTCCTTTTTGGGCAGCAGGAGGGCCACGGCAGCCCTGCGGGTTCCAGCTGAGTGTACACCCCAGGAGGAAAAGAACAAAAAACCTGCAGCCAGACACAAGCACAACAAAACATTTAATGTACCTTTTCTCGAAGGCAGGCACACGTTGCGCGCATTGTGCTCGGATGCTTTCAGACAACAGCAGCTGCAGAAGATCCATTTGGGCAACACGGCAAAGTGCCGCAGAGAATCACAGTTCTACATCCCACGAGAAACTTAAACCCAACTGAAACACAATCTGTTCCAAACCCAACTGCAAGCCAGTCATTGCTTTCTGAAAACAATGCTGTGCAGCTCTGGAAGAGCATCCTGAGAACAGGACTGTCCAATGTGTTCATCACAGAACTTGTGCGTCAATGTTCTCCCGTCCAAGACCTGCCACGAGCGATGGTGGATCCCCTGGATCCCCTCACAACCACAGTGCAACTCGTCTCAAGCGCTCTGCCTGCTAAAGTGCTTTTGTACGTTCTGATGGCAAAAGGCACTGGAAGAAAACAAGTTGCTGAGCAGCTTGTGAGGTGAACTTCAGGCAACGCAAATCTCCGCTGATAGGATTACATCGGAGTGAAATCCCAGTGGGCAAAATCCAGCGCAGTCTCACAGCGAGTCCCCTGCTGTGCTGGATCACTTGGAACTGAACTGGTGTGTAACTTCTGAGAGCAAATCTGTTCCAGCATATGGGAGAACGTGGTGACTACAGATCTCTCCCACCTCCCGCTCCTCTAATTCTAGGAAATTTAGCTTCAAACAGTGCGTGTTGTGCCAGAGCAGATCAGAAATAAGACCTCTTAGCACTTTGCACTTAACCGGCCTTATTCCCAAAGAAAAAGCAATATTCCTGTTACAGTCGGTTCCCCAGCAGCGACTCCCAGTCAGCCAAGTGCATGTTGGAAATTTATGAGAGATGGTGCTGAGCAGAGGCGAGGGACAAAGCGACTGTTAGCTGCCACTTCTCATACTGTCTAGTTGGGGTGGTCACTTCTCTCTTTTCCTCACGACAAGACCAGCTGCCTTTCTGGGTCTGTAACGTTTATGACTAACAGCCCAATGGGACACATAAACCAGGCTGCGTGCCAAAGCCTGGACCAGGGAGCGTCTCTTCCACAGCCTGGGCCAGACTGGCACGACAACTTCAACTCTTTGCCATGTGTCAGACAGAGGCAAGCTCATTTAACGTGGAGGGGAGGAAAAAACCATCTCAGAGAGGAGGAGCTGCTCTGTACTCCCCATTGCTGCCCTCCCTGCAGAACAGCCAAGCTGCACACCCCTTAAAGTTGTTTGTCTGCATCACCTCAAGCTCCACAGCACGCTCAAGGAACATCATCTTGACAGAGCACAGGTTTCTCTTCTTTGTTCTTTGCCGCCGTGGCAACCAAAGCAACTCACCCCCTATTCCAGAGGCTGCAATTCCCACTGCTGAGTTCCGAACCATCTTCCCTCTAGTCTGTGCAGTACAACAGCAGCTCTATGACACAAATTGGAAAATAACAGTCTTGTAATGTTTAAACAGGATGGATGGATCCCGACTTCCTATGGAAGCCCAGGTCAGCACAGAAAATTTTCTGCTGTGGCCAGTCCTGTCCCTGCTAACCGTGACAGCAATCCTCTCTACCAGCAGCCAAAAGAAGTAACAATCCCAACCTGTTTGCGCCTGTTTCAAAACGGGGTATTTCTCTCCCTCGGAAGGATGTCACCAGGCTAAGTTCATTACTGGTTACAATGTCTTTCCAAGAACAATGGATGAACAAAGGCAAAATATGGTTAAGAAGATTTTGGGGAAATCTCAGAAGAGCTTAAATAACACTGGAAAAAAACAATAGGATTGAGGCACTTTGAGAAACTTTACTCCACATTCTTTGCATTTTCTCCTCTAGGCAAAACTGCCCATTTTTAGAGTACGTGCAGCTAACGTTCCCTCTTCAAGGCTCATATATTAGTCTCCAGTCTGACACTGATGCTGCTCAGTGAATCGAATTTTACGTAGCTCTCAAAGTCACCCGCAGTGAAACAGCCACTTCGCGCTCCAAGATCTCACACCACAGCAGACACAAAATTATTTGGCCTGGGCTTGCAAGGAATCTCTCTAGACACCTCAACCACCAGTGAAACAGCTGCTCTTTAAAAACAGCCTCTCACAATAGTTCAGGGTAAGTGAGCAACGCTGATATGCTCAAAATCACCAGGAGAAGCTGTGTCAGCAGAATGGAATTGGTCACGCTGGAATTTGGCCAGGCCATTTGGGATTAACACTCTGAATGTTGCAAAAGTCACCAAAAGTTCTGCGTTAAGAGAAGAACCAGCAAACCATCCTCTAAATAACTGCAGTGCTCTGCCCTTTCCACCACTCACCAGATGACTATCATGCTTCATAAAATCTTTGAAGCGCCATAAAAACACTTCTCCAGCTCTAATTCAATCATCCTTTTCTTGTCAAACACCATGCCAAGCCAACCAATTCCGATTTGGTGTTAGTCCTCCTCACTTCAGCTAACCTTGTCAAAACATTTTCACCTGTTAGCACCACTGTAGGACTGAGGTTCAGAAATGCTTTGAGGCCACTATAGAAATACTTGCTGAAAACATTCAAAAGTGGTATTAAAAAAAAAAAAAAAGACATTTACTAGTTTCCACAGGACTTTTCCTTCATTATTCCAACTTAGGCTAAATACTTCTAAAACTCTACACAGTATTTGAATACTCACTGCATTGAAGCAAAGAACCCTGAAGTAAGAATTGGGCTTGTGCGTCGAATCCCCTCAGAGTGGGGTTCTCAACCTGCAGGTCTACTTGTAAAAACAGTGACTGAGGCAATGCAAAACCTTAAAAGATGTATGGCAAGATGTGCAGGAAGAGAAATGGGCACTTAGGATACAATCAAGCTCACCGGAGTGCAAGGAAGAGCAAGTTTGGGTCAGCATGATCCGCTAGAAGATTCTGGGTTTAAGGTGGCTGAGCACGCGCAGCCCGTGAGTGGTAACCAAAAAGCAGCAGCTGGCAGCAAAGAAAAGGAAACCCGAGGGTCTGCACACACTGAGGAGTTTTTAACTGACTTTGCAGCAGCAGGACAGCACCACCTGTGCAATCACAGAGAAAAGAAGAAGGTGCAGACAGCAGGCCACAGAGCAAGGAAACAAAGCTGTGTGGATGCAGCGATAGCAAGTGATGTTACGTTGCTTAAGCAGCACTAGCGAAGCCAGGATCCCTCTCTGATCCAGAGCAAGCACAGGAATTCACCCACTTTACCGGGTGCCTTTCAGAGCCCAGTCTCTGCTAAGGTAGTTCACTTGGTTCCCCTCTTCCCCCACTAAACATGTGCGTTAGAGGAGACAAAGTAAAAAAAGTGCTCAGTTGAGCAGCTTCCAGCAAAGTGGTTAAGTGTCTTCAGCAGAACTGCAGTCGCCTTCTCCTTCTGCTTGGTCCCAGGAGGTGATTTCGGACAGGCTGGTGGAGCTCTGATGTTTCCAACACGCTCACGACAGAGCAAAGCCATTGGTTTCCCCTCCTCCAGGAGAACACCAGGTAACCACATGCATGCCCCCTTCAGCTCTCCTTCCTCATGGTGCTGTCGGTGCTCTTCAGGGCACACAGGAGGCTGCAGAACAGCTCATACCAAAAGAAGATAAGGCCAGTAGAGACAGCAGCCTTCAGCAAGCTGGGTGAAAGGCCCTTAAAGAATCCACCCGGGCCCTCCTCTCGCATGATCTGCCTTATGCAGTCCAGGAGACCCCTATACATCCGCACCTGGGAGAGAAATGGCGAAAAGGTTAAACAAAAAAGAAAAATCCAGGACAATTTACCTGGAAAAGAACACAGAGAGCCACAAACTATACCACTGAAACATAATGTAGACCTGCAACCTGGAGATGTCTTTCTGACTATTATTCTAACGGAAAGTTTCAGAGAGCCAGGTTGTAGAGAGCAGGGCAGAGGAAAAGCCATCAGCAATGGCCTATGCAAATCATTCTAACTGAATGCCCGTAAAATCTTTATGCTACACCAGCATGTATTATCTATGGTACAAGTCTGTGAAGTAATTGCGTCAGATTGTGCTGCTACTGTTTTCCATCCCCTTCACTCTCTAAGGAGTGACAACTTTTTGGTTTTCTGACAGAAACAAAACAAAGGCACAGCGCTTCGAAGTCTCTAGATTAGCTGTCATCACGTCACGCGTGAAGGTTTAACATCGTGACACATCAATGCTAAGAACAAATTCTGCATCTCACTGGAAGATGAAATGCATCCAATGTAGGGAGTTGAGAGTTCAAATTCCTGTCACAGGGACAGACTAAATTGCTTCTCAGATCCAAGGAATTTGAAGGAAAAAAAGACTTCCATGTTTCAGGGAAAAAAGATGTAGCTCCTTGAAAGATCTGTATTTATCTTACAGTGTGTTTTGAGGTGGTAAGGATGGTGTTAAAGAACACCAGAAGTATTTAATTTTCTTTGAGTTTCAGGATGTTCTGGTACATAAGACACATGCTGAACACTTGGTGCCCATTCCTTGTATCAAAATACGAACTGTAGAAAAGGATCCTGACAGACAGGTGATGCCAGCATAAAGCCAGTGTCATCCTCTGCTAGTAATCTGGTCCTGAATCACAAATACGAAGCTGCAACTAGAAAAGTAAAGTGAATCAAAACCCCTTCGCCTGCCTAACTCAGCCCCAGCTCTGAGACAGCCAGCCTGATGGAGATGGATGAGAAGGCAGAGCACAGATATGTTGGACAATGTCATAAAATGAACCCAGTTTACAAATGCAGCTATTCCCATTATTAAGGGAGACCAATGCTCAGCTCCCAGAAGCTCCCTGGGAGCTCCCAACCAGAATATGAACACAACAGGTATCACTGGTGAATCATCACTGCATTGTGGTGATGACTGGCTCTGGATTGTCCTGATGCAAATCCACACTTAGGAAAATCAGTCAACTCAAAACATTTCTCACCTGCCCAAAGGCTGCCCGGGCATGCTCAAAGCCACCCACTTGCAGTCGTTTTTTGAACAGGTCAAAAGGGTAAGTGAGGGTTTTGCTGATGATTCCAGCGCAGCTGCCACAAACAAGGTTTTTAACGTTGCCTGAGAAGCAGAAAGGGGAGAGGATGGCAGGGAAGGAAAAAAGAGGATTAGCAGGGAGTTCTGATGAAAGATGATGGCAGGTAAGTTAAAATCACTTTTCACAAGAAGTAAGGCCAAAAAGGCCCTTTAAAGTTACATCACCTCTTCTGCCGAGTCTGGGCCACAGAACCTCAATCTGTACATTCTACACCAGGCTCTCAGTGTTCACTGGAGCCAGTGCCCACCTTGGGCTATTACACTGATTTATGCTTCTGCTCTGTCAAGTGGCATGGCAAAAAAACCCTGTCACCAGAGAACCTGCCACAGTGGATGGAAAAGTTTTCATGCCCCGTAGTAAAAGCCCAGTCACTGGAAACCTTGCACTCCTGATTGCTCATATGGACTTATCCTCGACTGGAATAAGTCACACCTTGACGCTGCCTGATGATTTCAGAGACTTGTGGGAAAAGAGTTTCATGATATTAGACTTTTTCCGGACAAACATGAGTTCCCAGCACAAAATCACCATCAGCCTTTGCCATCTAAAAATAAATATGCAGACATGATATTGAAAAGTCTAGTTCCTCTGCTTGAACAAATTCCAATGAGGAACAAAACCATACTGAAGCTGCATACAGCGGCCTCTCTCGGGGAGGCACTAGTATCTAGAAATATCGTGATAGGTGACAGGTTGCATCAGGATGAGATTCTCTTATAACTCAGCTAGAAATCAACATAAAATATCAAATCAAGAGCTTGGCAGTTTTAGAATAGGCTAAAATGAATCCTCTACTGTAACAGCTGTTCTGGAATGGAGATACTTTTCAGATGTTGCAACAAAAAGGGTGACAGGATAGAAAACTGAGCTTATGTCAGTGTCCCCAACCAGCATTCATCCTCTCTTTCTCTCCAGATCACAGACACCACTCTTGAAAGTGCTTACCTCCTTTCTTTCCTTCAGCTGGAATCATCCACTCAGAAAACTGTTGCAGGATGTTGTAGAAGGAGAACTGGAGACCAGCATATGGAAAGACAGCAACAATTGTGGGGGTCAAACCTCTATAGAAAGTCCGAGGCCCTTCTGTCTGGTACATGGTCACCACTGCATGGCGAAGGTTGCGATAGATCTGGACAATAAAGAAGAGGCTGACTGTCCAGTGAAACAGGCTTAAAATCAGCAAACCAAAAGTCAGGTTATTTCCCAGTAATGAGGATAGGTATATCCCACTGTCCAAAATACAACTGACTGATTTGCAGCACAAGGTGATGAACAAAGTGATTTTGCACATCTTCACACGGTATTCTCAGCTAAACCCTTGTGACTCTTCTAAGTAAGCTGACAACCTGAACCTGCCCCTGCACCACAGGAGACTAACTGAACGATCGTTAGCTCTGCACTGAAAGGCCTGGGCTGACATTGTATCCCACATCCAAGCTGTGCTTCTGAGGGGAAGAAACAAGGCACCGAGCTGAGAGCTGTGGCCTGAGACCACCTGCATCACTGTCATGATTATTTTTCTCTTAACAGCTCTGCAACAAAATTCATATAATATATATTGTGATTCTACTGCAGGCTAAGTCAAAAACCAGAAATGGTTCTGATGCAAACCCATATGAGTCTAGGTATTACAGACCTAATCAGCATGGAGAACAATTCTTGCATAAATAAGAACATGAAACACAGGTGAAAGGTGACTGGTTTCAAGCATCATCCTCATCATTATCTAAACATGACTCTGTGCAAGTGGAAAGTTTCAAACACACAACGTTAGACAGACTGGAGAGTGTATTCTATAAACGGCCAACAGCTGAAAGGAAAATTGAGTTACCCTGTTAAGGACAGTTTCTCCTTTCTGCATCACACATCAGGAGGCAAACACAATCAGGAGCATAATTAAGAAAGCTGTGTCAACAGCACAAAGGATAACTTGGCAACAGTGCAAACACTGCCCAGTAACAGCACCTACTCCTTTATGCTAACCCACAGACTGTTCTGTGCTTTCCAAACCTACTCTATTCACACACGTACTGCTATGGATGATAATTCCAAGCATTAACGCTCAGCCATACCTTAGGCTCACCCTGAGCAGCGAAGCGGGTGCGTAGCGTGTCCACAGGCTGAACTGCAACCGTGGCTGGGCAAGGAGCCCGGCCACCCCAAGGAGTCGCGGGCGTTGTACGACGTGACATTGTGCACCAGTTTTGTCAAGCTTTCAAACGCCATGAACTTACAGAAACAAACACACACGGGTCACGGAGTCAATCCTTATCGCTGACACGGATCTCCCACTCCTCTCCCATTTCACCAAAACAGCTCCACCCACCGCTTGTAACCACTTTCCTTCTCTGTCCTTGAAAGGTCCTCCCCAACTTGCAACCTGTGGAAGCACGTGCTCAAAGAATACCTTGTAAAAAACACTAAGCAGCCAGGGGAATGGCTGGGATGTTCTCATTTCTTAACCTGTCTGCTAAATCTTGCATTTAGAATTGTGAAAAACTCATTTTAATGCTCCATGTGTCCTGAAGAGTATTTGCTATGTTACAGATATGCTGCTCATTACTCTTTGAACCACTGCTCATAAAAAATGTTGTTAATATTTACAAATTAAGCATAACAATTAACAGCAAGCGGCTGTGTGATGCTTAGTTGCCAGCTAGGGTTAAACCATGACACTGTGCAAAGCACCATCATCAGTTTCATTGATTTTTTTTTTACTAGCAAGCTGGTAGGGCGATAGTGTGAACCAAAGCAAAAAAACCACACAGGCTTGGAACATGAACAGCTAAGCCAAGCGTCAGGAACAAACCGGGCTTATCTACGACACCAGATACAGACAGAACTCGGTTTGTCCTAGATGTACCCCAGGCTGGCCAGGCAGGCTGTTCAGCAAGCTCAAGAATATTAACTCAGGAATTACACACCAGCATCACACAACTACACGTCTCAGACTGGAACTAGCTTGCATCAGTATAGTTTCAAACTGGACCTTTTTGCATCTGCCCATGGAGCCAGTCTGAAGAGAAGCAAATCAGAGTCCTATGTATGTATGCTGGGCCCAGGTGATGTCTGGTCACCTTACCTGAACAGCTCCGTAGCCAACTGAAAGGAACTGAGCAGGAACATGGCCCTTCCAGAAGGCCACCAACCCCTCCTCCTGGAAGATACGCTGTACAGCTTGCAAGATGCCATGATACTTAGCCGCTGGGTTTCTGGAGGAAAGCTGCTCAATTTGAAGCTGGAGGAAGACAGAGAAAATATTTTCAATTCCACGTCGCATTTCAACAAGGTTTAAGCGTCCAATTCAGGAATTCACAACCCTGTCAGCCAACCAAAGCTGAGAGATGCCATTCTGCCTTTCCACAGAATCACATCTAGAACTGACTAGGACGTTATTTACGTAGGGCTCTAAAAGGATAAAAACACACATGCAACACACAGCTAATCAGTAGGGACGATGGTGAAACTCAGATAGCGGAGGTCATTCAGAAAAAGAGAGAAAGAGAACAAAACCACAAGATTCCATTCAAACAGGCAGGTTAAGCTGTATAAACAGAAGCGGTGGACACAGATAGCCCTAGTACCTTGCATAACCTGTATGCAAGGCAGGTGAGGGCTGAGGAGCAGCTTTAGTGCTCTCTGTTGCACACACGACCTGTCCCCCCAGGACAGGGTCAGCTCTGCTCGCTAACAGGCTCTCGCCCCGGTCCCTGAGCGTGCTGCGGGGAGGTACCTGAAAGCGGATCTTGATGACATCCAAGGGACTGATGAGGACCCGAGTGACTAAGCCA